GCAGTGAATTATGATGGTACCACTACACTCCAGCCAGGGTGACAGAGCCATACCCTGTCTCTTTAAAAAAAAAAAAAAAAAAAATAACCTTAAGAGCCAGCCGGGTGGCTAACGCCTGTAACCCTAGCACTCTGGGAGGCCCAGGCTGGTGAATTGCTTAAGCTCACAGGTTGGAAACCAGCTTGAGCCAGAGTGAGACCTTGTCTCTAAAAATAGCCTGGCTTTATGGCAGGTGTCTGCAGTCTCACCTCCTCTGGAGGCTGAGGCAAGAGAATTGCTTGAGCCCAAGAGTTTGAGGTTGCTGTGAGCTGTGACTCTACTGGGGCTGGGGGAAGGGTGGTGACAAAAGTGAGACTGTCTCAAAAAATAAAATAATTTACAAATTTAAATGTAGATAATAATTTGTCTAGGAAGGTTCTTATTTTCATCAGCTTTTGAGAGAACTGATTTAAGCACAAATTTTTTAATTGTCTCTGGGGCAACTTACATATATAAAATATATTGTGATTAAACTTTGACAGAAATGCTGACTTTTCAGAGTTCAGGCTTGAAGTCTTCAAGATAATTTGAGTCCTGATGTACAGGGGAGTTAGAAATTTGGCTCTTTCAGTGAGGTGTCAGCTTATTTTGTTTAAGCTTGGTGGTCCTAAGGTGAAGATTTTAAGCTTCAAGCTTTTGTTGGTCTTTGTTTTTGCTTTCTGTCCCAGGGGTCCTCAAACTTTTTAAACAGGGGGCCAGTTCACTGTCTCTGAGACCATTGGAGGGCCAGACTGCGGGGCCGGGCCCAGTCAGCTGCTAAGCAGGACAGGCAGCAGCGGCAAAAACACCTGGTGGGCCAGATAAATGTCCTTGGCGCGCCGCATGTGGCCCGCAGGCCATAGTTTGAGGACACCTGTATGCTCATGGGATAGAACATGTGGGATGTTGGGCAATGCTGGAGATGATATGGTTGTTACAGTTGGAGCTAGATGAGAGTAGGGAAAGATTGGGATAGGGAAAGACCAGAGTTGGTAAATACAGTTAGGAAACTGTCAATGATGTTGTAGGTGAAAGATTGAAATCTTTTTTTTTTTTTCCTTAGACTGTGTCCCCCTCAGTAGAGTGCCTACCTCATAGCTCACAGCAACTCTTGGGCTCAAGTCATTCTCCTTGCCTTAGCTTCCTGAGTAGCTGGGAGTATAGGCGCCTGCCACAATGCCCACCTTTTCTTTGTTTTTTGGGTTTTTTTGAGACACGGTTTCTCTATGTCGCCCAAGGCTCTGTGTGCCGTCGCATCATAGTTCAGCAACCTCAAACTCTTGGGCTTACATGATTCTCTTGCCTCAGTCTCCCAAGTAGCTGGGACCACAGGCACCT